ATCTAGCTAGGAAGATGAAATTCTTAGATGCCTCCAACAAGTAGGAGAAGCAGCTCATTTAAAAAGGGGCTTTGTCTTCTGCTGAGTGGAAGCCACCTGTTTCCTGGGGCGTTTCGGCTCTTCCATCTTAAATGGGATTAAAGATCTTTTTCTCTGAACTTTATTCAAGCCTTGATGTCCGTATGAGTGATGAACATGAAAGGGGATCTCTTATACCCTATATCTTATGATTCAATTGCATCTGCTGGGTCCCAGCTGCTTAATCAAATTATTCAGGATGTTCTGTGTACTGCCGGTGCCGTTTTCAGAATCAGTAAGCTTTACAAGTTATCGAAGAGTATTTGAAAGCTTTCTAAGCCACTGACCTGTAGTTCTCTGGCTAAGCATCTACTGCAACAGAAGCCCTTAGGGATTCTCTGTTTAAAATGTCACCACCCTACTGTGGACTTTGCACCAGTCATTAAAGAGGGACGCTGCCTTGCAATGGGAAGCCCAGGGTCTAAATCTGTTAAATACTCAGGAAGTTATCTCCCAGCACAAATATTGGCTACAATGAAGTGCTACAAAGTAAAAATCATGAAAGCAAAGAAAGTTCCCACACCTTAACTCCTTTTAACTTTGAAAACTCCAGGTGAGAGGTTTATCTTCCTGTTACAGCTGGGGAAACTGAGCTTAAAGTATTTTGGCTGAGTCCCTACAGTGCCAGAGTAGAAATTACTATCCAAGATTTTTGTCCAATTCCTGCTTTTCTCAATCCTCCCCAGACCAGTTTAGCACTAGACTGATCTGCTTACACCCAGATAGTAGCCTTCAGGGGTTTTGCAAATCCTTGGGCTTTTCTGGGAACCTTGTGGTTTTGAATTCATCTTAAATTCATGGTTAAATTCCAGCCACTTAACCTCAGTGTGTCTTGTAGTTATCTTTTTTCCCCTTGCTGTCTCTAAAAGAAAAAAAAGCTAAGGCAATTCATCCTCTTGCTGATCTCTTGGGTCAGCGACTAGTGTCTCAGTGCACGTTCCAGTTGGAACAGGAAGCTCCCTTTTCATTTGGGACTTATCTCCAAATGACGCAGTGACTGATAGAGACCCCCTTCGGTTTGGGGTCATTGATGATGCAGATGCAGATTCCCTGCGGACTTGTAGGCAAACCTGCAAACGTTTTAGGTCCGTCTCCATTTTCCCAGCAAAAGGCTCCATTTCTGTGAGAAATGTAACAGTCAGCATAACCGGTGTCTTTGTTGGAAGTTTTTACGCTTCTGTTGTTTCAGCCCACCATGTTTATTGTTTCCATCTCTTGTCTGCAGTGGCATCCTTATTTAGAAAAAAGTAAAGTCACCCCCACTTTTTTTTACCATAGATTGCAATGCGGCAGGCACATAAAAAAAAAATCTCACCTCATTTTAAGCACAGTTTCTCCCATCAATGCCAAGCTTATCGGTCCCATCTCAGTTTCTGCCACTGTTGAAGATGGGAGGGAATGGAAATCCCAGAAAGCTGGACTGCTGTTGGATAACCTAAAATGCAAAAAAAAACCCAAAAAAACCTGTGTGCAGAAGATGAGTTACTCCTTCTCCTTGGGTTCAGATGAATGCTTTTAGGGGAACGTTTCTGATTGTGCACATTATCTGGCAGATAGAGACCCCATTCCTGCTCTGTGAATTCAGTCCCTGATCCTTTAATCACTTGTGTTGATGGGTGGGAGGCTCAAATGCCATGTTGCTTGCTGGTATCTAATTCTTTGAGACAACTGCCCAGGGAAGAATTGTGATTTGACTTTTCCTCTTTCTCTCGTAGCTGTCAGTGAAGTTTGGTTACCCTTGTGTGTTTTCCAGGAGATAGGGAACAACTGACTCTTGTTGGATCACAGCTTTTACCCGTAGTTTATCAGGGGGTGGGAAATAGCTGACAATTGACTGGTCCTGCCAAGAGCTTGGAAGTTACGAAAACGCTGTTAACCACCCCCTGTAAAAAGGTCTCTTGTGACTGTGTTAGGAGACCAAACAAACGTACTCTCCTACTTTAAAAAGTGAGCTGTAAAGACGGGGAATATATGGGTGGCTCAATGGCTGAGCTCTCAATCCTTTAAGCTCTGGAAACCTGGGTCCAAATATTAGTTTTGTCACAACGAACGCTCTTGGGTGGCCGCTGGCTTAGTTGTGTAGGGGCACGTGGTCACATCACTAAGCGTATTGCATGCATGGGCATTAAGCCCAGCAGAGCACACTTCATCAAGGATTGAGAGAGCTGCAGGACAAAATGGAGGTGTTAGCAGAACTGTGTGAAGGCTCCGGGAGAGCACTTCACACGGGTATCTGGCCTTAGCAAAGATTTTTTTACCCTTGTGAGCGCCAGCTTTGCACTTTTGAGAGAAATAAAAGCAGAGTCAGAAGGAGGAAGGAACAAAAGAGAAAGTAGACTGGGTGAAAGCATCATGGAAAAATGATCCATAGTTGCACAGTAATGACTTTGTCCCAGGGGTAGGTTTTCCTAAATGCACAGACTCCTTCTTTCCCCTCTGCAAGTTGTAGTATCCAGTATCTATACAGGCAAAGACAGGCAAGTAAAAGCTACCAACCAGTTGAAAGAAAATACTTAGGGCCTGATCCCATGTTACCTGTTTGATCCAATGCCACACTGCTCGTGTCCCTGGGGGAAAAAGCATCAATGAACCTACTATTGTGACATACCAATGGGTCTGCCTTAAGAGAAAGCCACAGAAACAGAAGATAGGGGGCGGATAGGAAGACTTTTGCATTAACTGATTTTTCGGGGTCGAGGATGGAATAGGATCACACTTGGGAAAGGAAGGCCATCTAGGTATTCAATAGTGGGGATAAGTTCTGGCCTTCGACCTCTTCCGCTCTTTGGTAAAAGAATAATCCAGTCAGGGAAGAAGTTAGTGAAATGGGCTGTTGAAAGCAAATGTTAATGAACCCTTGAAGGAAGATCGTATGTTGGGAAACCACAGACTCTCCAGCCATAGCCCCGGAAATCACATCTTGTAAATGCTTTAATACCGAAGGCATGGTGCATCCTGTCCTATTGAGCAAGGATTCCCAACATCTAAGGGTGAAGAAACCAGACATGTTGTAAGAAGCTCCCGTACTATCGGCTTTCTGTTGTTGTTCATGGCTGTGTGCTCATGGAATAGAGCACCAGCTAGCCAGCTCCAGCTGTGTTAGTTTGCAAAGTCTTCGTGGGTCTTTGCTGTACAGTCCCTGTTTTTGCTGAGGGATTGGGGAAGGGAAGGACTTCTGCTTATGTTCTGTTTGTTGGGCTACTGTCACCAGAGCTGGAGTGTGCACCGCTCCGCACATGTGGATGCTGCTGTCCTGCTTCTTTGTGCCTTTTTCTTTCCTTTCGTTTAAAGGGATTTGCTATAAATTCCCAGAAGTGCCTTGTCGGACATAGAATCTGCCCCCTACGCTCATTTTAATGGTTTTACAGTTACAGAAACAAATGATTTTAAGACCTGAGCCTTGGTGCCGGTTGTTTTTTTAGCATGGCTCTTTGAATTCCTCTGCAGATTGGCTATCAGTAAGCATTTGATTCTGTCCACAGGAGCAGCCAGGGCTGGAGTCTAACACCTCTCTGTAACCTTTGCCTGTTTCTGCCTGATGTATGCTCACCAAGGGTTTGAGAGGGAGGGCAACAGTTGGGTGGGGGGCGGTGGACGGTAGCTGTCCATGAGATGATGAGTACAATACAAGGTGTTATATTTCCTTCAGCATCGTGTTCCACTTCGGCACATCCAGCTGAACTTGCTTCATCAGCCCAGGGCTTCTCACTTTTTCCTTTTCCATGGCAGAGTTGGCGGAGATTGGCCACCCTCTTCCCTGGGACAGCTCTTTTGGCCAGAGTGTGGCAGAGAGCCATTGATGGCGCATGTCTGCTTTTCCTTTCTAGAAAACGTCCATCTCCATCCCAGAATGCTGCTGCACCTGAGAGGCTCGAAGCTCTGAAATACCAGCGGATAAAGAAGCCCAAAAAGTCATCCAAGGGCTCCTCGAAATCCAAAAAACAATCCAGTGAGTGTGAGGATCTCAAGACTCTCCACTAGACTCCCCATCCTGCTCGTTAGTCTGGACTTGAATGGGAGTTCATTCCAGCGTTCGGTCTCTACCTGAGCTCACGTAGCAAATGTTTTATTTCCCTGCTCCGCGTTCCCTTTCCAAGGAATCGGGCTCTTTCCATTAGGCTGCTGGGGTTCCCTTGCATCTTTGGTTTGTCAAAATGAAGACTCAGTCTCCTAGTTTTTGTTGCAATGGTTCCCTGACCTTAACCCCAAAATGGAAAGCAGTAACTTCCCTTATAGCCCGGAGTGCTTAGAGTTGCCCAGCTGGGGAGTCTTGAAATGACCCCTCTCCAGCCCCTGCAGAGGCCTGCTTTGACCTGTAAATTTTAAACTCCTGATCCTTGCCTTAATTCTGCTCCCCACCCCCTTACTTGCATCTCTGCTTTCATTTCTCCCTGCATCCCAACTAGCTTCCTGTGTTCTCCTCAGTTCTCTCCTGACTCTTTCTTCTGTCTTCTCCTCCCTCCCTCCGTGCCCCCTTGCCGTTGGAGCAACCTTTTCTTCAAGTCCTTTGAATGAGTTCCTTCAAAAGTCCTCCTTCTTTCACCGGGCCTCCTTTTTATTAACCCCCTCCCCAGCCAAGTCACCTGGCTGGGATGTTATCCTAGTTGGGGCGCAAGCTTCTTGGCCCAAGCTAGGACTTAATTCCATGTGACTTTTTTTGCAAGCTCTTGAAAATGCCATGCCTGCTCGTGGTACCCTGAAGAAATGAAAGTGGCTAATTACTTGTCCGTCTCCCTCCTCTCTCCTTCCCCCTCCCCAGATGGTTCTGCCTCCCAGGTTCAGCAACTTCCCAACTCTCAGGTACTGTGGCCTGACGAAGCTGTCTGCCTCCGCAAGAAGAAGAGACACCCTCGTCAGGACCCTTTCGCCCGCCTCTCAGCGCTGAAGGATGACCTCTGTCATCGGCAGCTTCCTGAAGACCAGACAGCTATTCTCAACAGCGTGGACCATGACGACTCCAGCGGGCATGCCACCTTACTCTAGCGTAGTGCCAGCCCAAGAAGGTTCAAATGGGGTGGGGGGAGGGAGCAGAGATCTCAAGAACTACACACACATTAGGGGAAAAGGTTTGGGGGGCGGGAAGGGAGGAGGTTGAGGGTGTGGAGATGGGATATGATCTCCAGGTCTGGCTCTCATGCCAGTGGGCTGAGCACACTGGATGCACATATTCTTTGGTATTAACACACGGGAAACCAGCATCCAGTCTCTGCCTACAGGGAGAGACTCCCCATCCTTTCTGGGGAGCTTCTACTTCAAAGTTACTCAAGGAGGGGGCAGGAGGAAGGGTATTTGAAACAAGGAGGAAAGTGCTACTCCTCCCTGTCTGCCCCCTCCACAAGGTTTGGCCTCTCTTTAGAGAAGCAGGAAAAGGTGAGGCTGGGAAGTGCAATGCTAGGAGTGAAAGGATTTAAAACTTCGGACTGTTGTAAGAATTTGGTGTTCCTCGAATCCACTTTTCTCTGTTACAGCTTCAGTTTTATGAGCCCTGGAAGGCGGATGAGATTTTTCTCTCTTGGTTTCAATAATTTATGTATTGATTAAGGAAATCATAGGTGCAAATTAGACTGTGTATTTATACGGTGCGTATTGAGGTAGGGAACGTGGAAGCAAACAAATGACCGTGAATGACAGGAATAATTAGGGTTACGCAGGATGCAATTCAGTGACATGAAACAACCACGCCAGGTTGGAACTGATGACCCAGTGAATCTGATTATTTTATAATAAAAGATTAAAGAACCACTACAGAAAATTCTGGTTGTGCAAAATCTTCTTGCCTGTCCACATCTTTTTCTGTGAGGAAGATGGTAACAAAAACACACGTGAAATTTTCCCAGTCTGCCCCAACATAGACAAACCCTCAAGATAAGCAAATAGGTGGAATTGTGCAAAGCTGAACTTGTACGTATGGAACCTTGTTAACGTGTACTAACAGTAATTGGCAGATGAGCAAGGACAGGCATGTTTTTAAAAATCCAAGGATATTTTATTCCAGGCTCTACGTTGTTGATTTTGATGAGAGTGGTTTAGATTAGTTTATGATGATGCTTCATATGGTACTAGTAAATGTCCTGTAGTACAATTTGTGGAATTTAATGAAGTCTTGGTAGTAATGAGAGCTTAATACAAGGGTGTTTTGTATTCTTTAAGCTTAGCTGCAAAAAGGGGAGGAGTGAGAACGGACTTTTCTGTCTGTCGAGTGCAAATGAACAACATCTGACTCTGTAACCCCCCCCCCCCCCCC